ATATATATCTTAATCCCTGTTAATTTTATAATCATGAAAAAATGTTTTCTAAAAAGCTGACTTTATACTCTCTGAACTTGACTAAACACAATAATCTACATTCAAGTTCTTGACTGCAGGAACTGACCAGGAAAGAACAGAGTAGGAAAATCCTATCGTACATCACAAAGACTTAAGCATCTTTGATGTATAAGTTAATTTTCAGTCAGCCTCACCTATTCCCTTTTTTAAAAAAAATATAACAAACGGCAGAAGTACCATCCTTTTGGACACATGTGGCATTTAACCAACAGCTGAGACTTACAAGCACTAACAAATGTTGAAATCATAACTACTCCATGTTTACACTAGCTTCATCTAAAAAATAAAAGTGTCTTAAAACTCATTAAGGGTAACTTTAAAATTCTGAGAAGATATTCTCTGAAAATTAGGGGGGGAAATTATATTTAATGACTGAAATCAGAAGTTATCAGTGGAGCTGTTCGTAGATCTTCCATAACCTACTGTAAGGAAAAGAGAATAGGAAAAGAGAATTCCACCTCTGCTATGTGACCTCAGACATATTCCTTAACTTCTCAGTCTTAAGTTTTCTTATCCATAAAATAGATAACCACAACTTACTCGCAGGACTGTAGTAAGCTTTAAACTGCCAGCACAAGGTAGGGCACATAGCTGGGAACCTTAGGAAATAGTACTTGTATTTTAAATAATCATCCAGCTGGCTAGTGTACAATCTGAATTATATGAGTTCATCTAAAGTAAACCCCAAGGCTAAGTAATACTAGCTCTGAATTCACTGGGAGTTCAAAATGACCATAAAATTATACAAGATAGGGGCCAGTGATGTATCCACCTTGATGGGTACTTTGGCAAGGACTTGCTAAAGTCCTTGAATGAGCAAAAGTACAACACAGTAGTTTGGTTGAAAACAATAGAGGATGAAAAACTGGTGGAAAGAGACTTTCCTGTTCAAGAGCAAACTAATAGTTAAAACAGATAAAGAGGAAACACATGGAAAAAGAAGAAAAAAACTCCATTCGGGCAATACTATCTAGGAAAGGTAAGTAACAGCTTTCACCAGTTAAGGTCCAGTCAGAAGACAGTGAAACTGGGAGAAGGAAGTTCTTAGATAGGGCTGTTTAATTTGCATTCCTGCTCACCACTCTTCACGTTATCAGGGTAGAAACTAATAATTACACCAGAAATACTAGCTTGAAAGAAAGTATCGTTAGTACAGTACCCCTATATGTCCCTTTAAGTGTTAGTGAAATGTCCCAGGTTTTAAGGCAGTCAATTAAATACTGCAAATTCTGACTGGCAGATGAAATCTCTATAAAACAAGTGTTCTCAACCCCTACATACATGCATCAATTCATGGTTGAATAATAAAGATCTGAACCATATAATATAAAACCAAAATGTGAACTAAGTTTTACCCTCCCAACAAGGCTCTTCGTGAAGATACATTCATCATGGAGGAAGGCGTTTAAAAAAATTACATGGCCACTGAAAGAGACCTTCTCTATAAACTCCACAATCGCAGACACTATGCTTTTAACAGTATTTAACTATCCTCCTAGCCAGTAAATGTTCATGCTTCATGAAGTCCTCGGCTCCTCCAGCAAGAGTTTCTTCCTCATTAGGCTACTGAAAGATCATGGATGAATGCAATCATACCAAAAAAGGTGCTGGTTACATCCATTCTGCAAATTATTCAAGAGGGAAATCAAGTTACAGTAAGATGTTACGGCACATTTCATCACGACAAAATACACATATATGTATTCTGCAAATGATGGAGTTAAAATTATATGTAAATCACAACATCTTTATGCTTCGACGCCTACTTGGGGTTGTGGGTGAAGGCTGGAGAGTAGAAGAGTGAGGATGTGGCGACTGGCTACTACCAGGCCAGGCGATTTCCCAGGGTCGTCACCAATTCGAAATGACCTTAAGAGCCTTAACAAAAGCAGTCATCAAAGCTTGGCACAAGGGCCTTAGAAGTAACCGAACACAAAGCAAGCGCAAACTTGAATACGCCAGATCTGTGACATATTTGAGGAGGAGGTTTTGGGGGTTTTAATCACTGCGGAACACCGCCACTCACTCGGTCGGAGCTTTAAACAGCTGCAAGAAACAGAACGCGGACGTCTACAACTTATTGTGCGAATCGCATTCATTTTAGGGGATAGAATGTAATACTTCCAGCAAATTTTCCACAAACTGCAGCGACGACACTACCGAATACTTTTCTCACAGGTCCCATTTAACAAAAATCGGGGGAAAGGAAGAACAGAGCGGGGAAAAAAGAATGGTCTCGTCAGAAAGCCTGTGAAGACGCCTGGGATCTCCGGGAGCGCTGGCGGGGAGGTGGGCTCAAGAGGACCAGTTCTCCAGTTTCCGAGGCCGCCGTGGTAAACGGACCGGCATTTCCTGGGTTCCCCGTCGAGCCGACAGCCAGACGCAGACCGCAGCAGGCACCCGACCCGGGCCGCTCCGGACGGGCGCTGCGGCCCGTTACAAACAGGTTCCCGCCGCGGGGGCTGGCGGCGGGCGGGCTGCACTACCGCCATAGCCCGCCCGGCAGCCCGCAGCCCGGGCGAGAACGGGAGTGCTGGGTGGGAGGGAGACGCGAGTGTGGACTACAATGGAGGAAACGAGGGCATTCGTCTGGAGCTAACACCGCAAACCTGGGCGTCCGCCTTCCTCTCGCGCAACAGCAGTCCCTGAACCCGCGCAGCATAAAACCGCTACGGTGCGCGCCCTAATCCTTTTTGCCTCTTCCCGCCGTTTGCCGCGCTGCTCACCCTCAAACCTAAAGACTCCATGGGCCCAAGCACGCCCTTCCCCGCCCCCTCCCTGCGCGTGAACAGTGGCTTCAGTTCTCTTGAGGGGTTCCCCCCCCCCCTCTGCCTCAAGTGAGTGCCAGACAGAGAAAGGAGGAGGGCGCTCAAGCAACACTGCAGACGCCATTGTTCCCTGTTTCTCTGCTGCTGCTGCAACCTCGACGTCTTGCCTACGTTTTTTTGCAACCTATGGTGGTAATGATGGGGTTTTCATTAAGTATTATAGATTCAGGCAGGGTTTGGCCTCCTAAAAAGTTGGATTGACTTCTCCCAAGCCCGGCTTTCTCGGGCCGCCAGCGGCCCTCACAACCTGAAGGAGGCGCCGGCGCGGGCGTGGCGTCACCTCCTTCGGCGCCTTGATTGACGCAGCCTTGAATCCTCGTTTGCCCTCGCGCCACCGCTGGGGCAACCAGTGCTGGGCTCGGCTTGGCGGGGTGGGAAGAGCGCAGGGAGGCAGGGGAGAGGCGGCGGGGGCTGCACTGGATTCTCATCTGGCTGTGACCGGCTGAGGGGGCGGCGCGGCGGCTGGGGACGGCGACTTCCGCGCGGTGAGGAACAGACGGGGCAGACGGTGCGTGGGGCGAGGATAGGTTGCCCGCGCCGCTTGAGGGGAGGCGTTTGGGGGCTGCTTGGTGGATTGGCCACTTCTCAGAAGGGAACGTTGCCCAGCACTTTCCCCTCCCCCCCACCTCCGCCATTTCCCTGAGCGCGTATCCTGAGATCCGTGGTGCTGGGAGGCTGCAGGGGGAGTGCCAACTGCCTGTGGGGATGATCTGTAGTTTAGGCTTAGAAATCGAACATCTGTGTAGGAAGAGGCGGCCGGCGGGCGGGACCTGAGGGCGGTGGAGAATGCCGCCGCTCTCTTTGTGTGGGGCCCCCCGCACTTCGGCCCTCCCGGCCCCAGGCTCGGAGCTGGAGCGGGGGAGATGGGACGGTCGAGGCTGCCTCCGTTGTTTGTCTCTCCGCGGTGGGGGGAGGGTGCGGGGGATGAGATCTCGGGACCGCGTGGTGGGTGGGGGAGGGGGTCCGCGCTCGGCTCCGCCTAGTAGCACGTAGTCGCCATTACGCGGGCCGCCATTTCCTGTCGGGTCCGGGTGAGGAGCGGCGCGGCGCTTCTGGTCTCGCCTTCGGCTTAGTCGACTCCTGTTACTCGGCCGTTGCGGATCCCCGGTATCGTGCGGGGCGGCGGGGGGGAGCATGTTTGCGTTCGGCTAGTCGCGCCCGTTTTAGTGGTTTTCACGGTCTGAGGAACGGTGACTGAAAGATTTGACCGATGAACCGCGGCAACGTTTTTATCTGAATTTTCCAGCATACTCCAACGCTTAGCTGAAGGATGGGCCGTAAGGATAGCGTTTCAGTTAGTCGTTAAAAGAGAAGCTTATCGACAAATGTTATGGAAGAATGAAAGGCATAAAACGTATCCTCGAGTGTTAGCTTTAGGCTGTCTGGCAGAAGCCACTTGACTATTTCTTTTCTGCTAGTCCTGTGAGGGCTGGTGAAAGGCGACTTGCGGTCCTATCACGCTGACATTAAATAATTGTTACGATGCAGAGAGTTTTAACCTAACTTCAATTATTTCTATGGGGCCAGTATTAGCGTTCTGGGGTTCCATTAGCTGTATTTGAGTAATAGAGCAGTGCTGGCGGTTTGGGTCTGCTCCCTATAAGGTTTTTTTTTTAAGATTTAATTTTCCGGTATTTTGACCTGATTGTTGGATATAGCTTGAATTTGCCTTCGCTTGTAAACTTTAGAGAGTTCAGAGAATGGCCTTTCAAGTCAGCAATGGGAAGAGACCCACGAGCAATTTAAAATTCCAGTATAATCAATTTTGTGTACCTATAAATTTATACCTTTGGGGACAAAATTGAGAGTCTGAGCTTATTACAGGTCTTTGTCGTTTCTGTATTTATTGTATAAAACCATTAGTTGCCGTGGTGGGACTCAGTCCAATGGCTAAAAATTCGTGGTTTCCCTTTTGCAAAAAAATCAGAGTCCTTTGGTTACTTTTTTTTCCTAAGGCTTACACTCACTTGAGAGTGTAAGACCCTAAAACAAGTTATAGAAAGAGCTCTTTAGTTTATTTGTATTCAGATCACTGTTCATTAGTATTTAGTAATGAGGAACCAAAAAGCAAAACTGATTTATGTTGGTTTTTATAGGCTACTGCAGCACTAGGGTGTCAGTTGGTCCCGCCCAGAACACTTCAGTTCTGCTCTGCAAGGATATATAATACCTGGTACGTTCTAGAAGCAGAGTCATTTCTTTGCCTTTTCTTTTATTTAGCGAGACACAAAGCTTACTTTCCAATAAACCAAATGTACTAGCCTCTTTATTTTTCAACAGATTGGTGTGTCCATTTAATTCAAGAAAATGGAAACTGAACAGCCAGAGGAAACCTTCCCCAACACTGAAACCAATGGTGAATTTGGTGAGAACACATTTTTAGCAATTTTTGTGTTTTCTATTCTGTTTCATTATTTAGAACGGTTTAGTGTGACATCCCTGTCAGTTTTCTTCTACTTAGGAACTATATGCAACTGTCTTTTGTGTTGTTGACGGTAAACTTAAGATAAAGACAACAAAAAATATTTTTCTTTGCGTTTTACAACTTTCAATCTCTTGAATTATTTTGTCCCTTTCATTGTTTTGTGTTTAGAAAGAGTTTTTTGGAAGGGAACGTGCTTTGATTCATAATTAAAAGTTAGAATCTGAGCGGCTTTGGCCTTTTCAGTTAGCAACAAATCTCCAAACAGAACGGAGTTGCTTTCTCTGTCCTGTGGGTTAAAACTAAAATGTAATTGGATTAAAGGGGCTTTTTCTTGTTGATAACTGGTGCTTTCTTTGACATCTGAACTGTTAATTTCTAGGTAAACGCCCTGCAGAAGATATGGAAGAGGAGCAAGCTTTTAAAAGATCTAGAAACACTGATGAGATGGTTGAACTACGTATTCTGCTTCAGAGCAAGGTATAAATTTTACTCTTGAAAATCTTAAAGTAGTTCTTACTAAAGTAGAAATTAAAATAAGTTCTGGTTTGGCCCTCTGGGAAGCATCCTGAGCCTTACAGATTAAGGAATGTAAAAGATGTGTGTGGCTCTTTTTAAACAGATTGGTAAACCGTGTTATTTGGATGACAATTAAAATGAAAGCCCTTAATACAGTGACGCTATGAGTAAAAGTAGGAGAAAGGGTATAGGTGATGATTAAAGCATTAATGGATTAAAGATTACACCTTGATTGCATTGTGGGGAAAATATCCTAGCTGGCAGTTGACTTGATGGGCATTATCACATCACAATGTGAAGGTACCTAGTGTATTTAAATTACCTTTTTCGGAATGATACCATAAAGTTAATCAGTACATAATTTTCACGCTCTGTATTTTTGGCATGCTTAATATTGCAAAGCTGTCTTAGTGTTTTCATCCCCAAAACTCAATAGACTCTCGATTTTTTTTTTTTTTTCATGATTTTGATTTTGATACCCAGATAGATTTTCAGCTCTATAACCAAAAAGGGGAGGTTAGAGTTTTGTTAGGGTTTTTGTTTTTTGTGGGGGTGGAAGGGTTTGGTTGCAGTTTTAAAAGCATAGGAAGACCTGTTGATATAAGGGAAAGTAAATTTCTTGTGTTTATGTCTTCTCCAGAATGCTGGGGCAGTGATTGGAAAAGGAGGCAAGAATATTAAGGCTCTCCGTACAGACGTAAGTATTAAAGAGTTTAAACTACACAAGCAGCTTCAATTTATGTGTTTGTAGGAATTTAAAGATTTGCATCATAGAAATCATTCAATAGTCTAGATACAAGCCATTTGTAATAATTGAATACATAGTTGATTTCAAGGTTTGCCATTCCTGATATAACAAAGCACAGATTGAGTTTGGGGAGGGGGGATCTGTATTAAACCTCTTCCCTTTCTGATAACTTTACACCAAATTATTCACTTCAAGATAACATTTTAATTAGAAATAACGACAGTGTAAAAACCCTTAATTGCACTAGTTACTGTGTGTGAATCAATTACAGTATTACAAAAACCATTGCAGGTGGCTGATTAAACTCCGAAATTTTTATTTTTTAATCGTCCATCTGTTTAACAGCTTGCACATGGAGCACAAAGAGATTAATGTTGAGGTTGCATGATTTAAATATGGGTAAAGAATAGACGCTTAATCTTATAATTGGGAAACCATTTGTCAATGCCAATGATTTGTTTGAGTCTTCATATTTTATAGTGGGTTGACTCTTGTGATTAGACACATTAAATGTTGGTATCACCAGAAGCGAGCATATTTATAGGACTTGGCTACACCAAAATTCCTAAATTTTTTTCTCGTAGTGTACACACTCTTAATGTTTCTTTGCTAAAGTTGAGGCAAATAATAACTTTGTGTTGAATACTTATTTGATAGTATTTCATTTCTCTCTTGGTCGCAGATCTTTGTATGTTCCTCCTGTAAACTGAACTTGAAAATTTGTTTTAAATTTTACAAACTTGCCTGCTAGGATCTAGGAATGCGTTTTAAACCTCCAGGAAACCAAACTGGTCTTTTAAGAGATAGGGTTTTTGGTGGTGTGGGAATTTTTGTTTTGTCTTTTACAAACCTCTCTCCTCTTAATCCAGATGTTCTATATAATTATCTGGGTTATCAATTTCCCCATTTCCTCAAGAATTTTAGTAAACTGAGTCATGACAGGTTTTGTGTCTACCCTCATGAGCCAGCCTGCTACTGAAACATCGTTTGTTAAAAAGAAAAAAAAAATAGCTAGTACCATCATTTAAGGTCCTTAAATGTTAAGCCACAGTCAGATTTAGAGAAGTCCATTATTGTGTTAGTCTTCAGAACAACTTAAGCTTGTTTCATTAATTGAGAGTATGAGTATAGTTTGTATTAAATTAAAATTTATTGCTTTTCCCCCTTTTCCCTCTCCTTGTTTTTTTGGCCATATATCTCCGTTGCCCATGTACTGGATCGACTTACCCCTGCGTTGCCCACCATGACGTTGGCCCATCCGCCCCTGAACGCCCATGTGAAAACCCTGGTTGGCTATGCCCAAAAATGTGCTCGTTGCCAAACGGGTACCATACTTGACAACTTCTGATTGAATGCCCATGCCCAATGCCAACATCCACGAACGCCAATGACCAATGCAGTACAATGCCAGTGTTTCAGTCCCAGACAGCAGTGGCCCCGAGCGGTATGTCCCAACAGTTTATGCCTCACTGCCTGATTAGAAAGAGAGAAATGTATTTTATTACCTGCCTTTTATATAATTAAATAGTATCCCCTTTAGACGGTGTATTGTTTTTCAAGTTTCTGTCTTATTTTCCCCATTAAGTCTTTTTGTCACTGAACTTTTACCGTGAGTTGCCCACCCAAACGATCCACTAATTTTATTTCGATGGAAGGAGCACAGCTTCAAGTGTTGCATATTTGCTGCATTGTAAATCAAATTGTTACCAAAATAGTCTCTCGCTCTGTCTTTGTGGCCCACCTTGCTTCCCAACATTGCCTGTTCATAATTTTTTCTGATGAAATGCTAACTCTGGTTCACTTTCCTTCACTTCTCATTTGTGTTGTCTTTGTTTTGTCTCGCATTTGTATTTGTTTTCTTGCAGAGCCCATTAGTGATCTAATTTCTAACTGGTATCCATAACCTTACTCCAGATATAATGTTCACCACTTGCATATTCCCCCACTTTTGCCTAAGAGAAGGTGTGCCAGTTTTACCAATGTAACAGCGAGGGTATCCTTAATTAACTTAGTGGTGGCGGGGAACATAAATATTCAACTCTGCTTCAGTTCTGGTCAATTTATTGCCCACTTAATCTGAGCCCTTCCAAGAGCCCATTCTCTCTGTCTCTCTGCAAGTCTCCTAATATTGTTATCATGTCTGTATTGGGCATAAAACAAAATGCATGTGAAAAACCTATAAATAGGCTACTTTAAATGGGGAGATTAAATAATTGTATGTTACTTCTCTGTGAAAGTTTGTATGACTACTGATGATGAACACAAAACTCATTTTTTCTTTTCCACCTTTTTTGTACTATCTGGTATTTGTGATGTTTGACAGCATATTGAGTATCAGTGCTGATATTGAAACAATTGGAGAAATTCTGAAGAAAATCATCCCTACCTTGGAAGAGGTAGGCTCTCTTTTTTTTAATGTATTTGGCAATTTGAGGGGGGAATATTTAAAATGTTTTATTGGGGCTTAATAGGGGAGGTGGAGAGACAGTGGCTGTGACAGTTTGTAGCAGCGACATATAAACTGCTACATAATGTGCATGGTTACTACTCCATGTGTGTGTTTTAAAATGTAATCTGGAAAAAAAAATGTAGTCTGGCCACTCCAGAGTAAATACGAACTACCTGTGGTCTTGCATATGGGTGTAGCACATATTTTATGGGCTCTAGTCCTAGAAGAGGTGTTTTTTAAGGTAGAATATTGATTGGGGGGGGCTGTGTTGGAAAGGACTGTGTTAGATTTTTTTAATTTTATATATTCATGTGTTTATTGGATATATAGAAAAAAAGTTACTCTTTGATTCTTAAGAATTTAATGGTATAGATATGAAATATGTTGTAGTAGCTTTACCAATATATGCGACAATAGCCTGATCACACTAGACACTTAACCTATTACTCTTATTTTTCTACTTTCAGGGCCTGCAGTTGCCATCACCCACTGCAACCAGCCAGCTCCCGCTCGAATCTGATGCTGTGGAATGCTTAAATGTATGTCATAGTGCCATTGAACCCCACTGAAGTATGGAGCCTGGCCCATAGGATCAATTTTATTTTTAACATAGTGTACTTATCCCGTCTCTATAGAAAAAGGCTTAAAAACAAGAGAAATGAATGGTCTTACAACTCACTGTTGACCCTGCTCCATGCTGCAGTGGGAATTAACTACATTTGCAAAGTGCTTTGCAGTCATTTTTATTATGGTGTTATTTGAATGTTAATAATAATTTTGTGGTAACAGCGACATGCTAAATGGCTGCAGTGTGGGTATGGTGTTGCAGGACCTGAAAATAAAATAGTTTTTTAAGGTGGTGCAGAATGTCCTTTTTGGGCCTGGCTATTGAGGATAATAAGCACATAACTGGTAAAGTTATTGAAATATAAATTCAGGTTGCTCACTGCAACAGTATATTGTCATGCTTATAGCAGATAAGTGTGTATTGGGGATTCTTTGATTTGGGACTAAAATCTTATAACTCTCCCTCTGCAGTACCAACACTATAAAGGAAGCGACTTTGACTGCGAGTTGAGACTGTTGATTCATCAGAGTCTGGCAGGAGGCATTATTGGGGTCAAAGGTGCTAAAATCAAAGAACTTCGAGAGGTAAAGGCACTGTTTGTTTTCTTCTACTGTATACTAGAGAATAGTTGTTCATACACAGTTGGATCAGTGGACTTCTCTCCTTCCCCCACTTGACCTCCCTCCCTAAGATTCCTTATCACTTCTTTGTTCATGTAGTTTGCTTTTAAAATACAATGGCCTGGACATGCTTGGGCGAGTTTTTTGTCAAAATTTTTATACACTGGCAAGGTCCTAGAGCTATTTAACAGGGTTTTTATATGGTCAGGTGGGGGGGGGGGGTACTGAATATGAATGCAAATTTCTCTGAACCTAGGATTTTTTTTTTTTTTTGGTGTATTTCATGTATTTTTAAATGTTTTCTAATTAATGCTTCCCTTTACTATATACTTATTCCAGAACACACAGACAACAATCAAGCTTTTCCAGGAATGCTGTCCTCATTCCACTGACAGAGTCGTTCTTATTGGAGGAAAACCTGATAGGGTTGTAGAGTGCATCAAGATCATCCTTGATCTTATTTCGGAGGTACTTCATTTACATTCAATTCTGTGCAACAAATTTTTATTCTAAAGTAGTGTCACAATGTTTAGACAAAGGGCTTTTGTCTTATGCCTTTACCCATTGGGGTTTTCTTGTTTTTTGGATATTTTAATGTAAAAGTTTTTTGAGATGGTGGTTATTTGATTATTGGTGAGAATTTTAATAATTTTTGGTCCTTCAAGTAGTTTTTATAGTACTAGTACTACGTTGCATAGCTTCCCAACTGACGTCCTTCAGCATGAGTTAGAGGCTTACCCAGGATACTGATCCCTTCAGCCCTTGAGATGTTTTTTTTTTTTCCTTTAAAGACCCCATTGTGAAATGTGTGGGTGGGGTTTTGTGTTCTCTTCCTTGAGATCTGAGGGTAAAAGCCTGCTGCTTCTTCCCCCACAAGCCAGTAAAATTTTCAGACTCACCAAAAATACTGCTTTTTTTTAAAATACTTTCTTTCCTCCTATTAACCTTTTGCCTGATTGCTTTCTCCTGTCCCAAGTACCTCCCCGGAGAAATAAGGGACTTGAAATGTTTGGCTTGTTAACATTTAGTATGAAACAAGTTTCTTTTCCTTGTTCTTTTCTCTAACGTTGCTACATTTTTGTTTTAGTCTCCCATCAAAGGACGTGCACAGCCTTACGATCCCAATTTTTACGATGAAACCTACGATTATGGTGGTTTTACAATGATGTTTGATGACCGCCGTGGACGTCCTGTGGGATTTCCCATGCGGGGGAGAGGCGGTTTTGATAGAATGCCTCCTGGTCGGGGTGGGCGTCCTATGCCTCCATCTAGAAGAGATTATGACGACATGAGCCCTCGTCGAGGACCTCCTCCGCCGCCTCCTGGACGAGGTGGCCGGGGTGGTAGCAGAGCTCGGAATCTTCCTCTTCCTCCTCCGCCACCACCTAGAGGGGGGTAAGTTTATTACATCCACACAGTTAACTTACAACCGGCTACATTTGATGGGTAGATAGATTTTTGTTGTGTGTGACGTGTACTGAGATTACAACACGTACTGTGCTTACAGAGATCTAATGGCCTATGACAGAAGAGGAAGACCTGGAGACCGCTATGACGGCATGGTAAGAACTCTTCATTTATCATCAATGTATATGTGAGGGCCTGTAAAGGGTTTTAAAGTCAAGTAGTTGACAGTTTGTTGAAGATGATTGTTAATTGAAAAGCTTGCTTTACCGGTAGACTTGGTAGATAACTAGTTAAATCATTGTCAGTTGTTTGTTGAAATATTAAGACTTTTTTGAGCCATTTTTGTTTCCCCACAATGTATGATTGGTGCTAATAAATATTTGAGTGAAGTGAAATAAAAATGAACCTTATAAAATGGCTGAAATATATAGTCCAGGTTATATTAACAAGTTCTATCTCCGACACAGGTTGGTTTCAGTGCTGATGAAACTTGGGACTCTGCGATAGATACATGGAGCCCATCAGAATGGCAAATGGCATATGAACCACAGGTTGAGTATCATGGGTGTTTGCATTCATGTCAATAATAACTTAAAATGTTTACCTCCTTGCCAGTAAGTGTTTTTCCCTCCTGTAATGTGTTTGTTTTTGTGCTATGTACCTGAAGTGTTTTCTTCCCCAAGGATTGTCTTCTAAAACCTAGGGAGAATATGGGAGGACTCTAGTTTCCTAAACTAAGATTTTAGGAATATTAAAATACCTGAAGGGTAGTTTTGAAGGCAAAGTAATTTTTTATTTTTTCTTTCCATTTTTAGGGTGGCTCCGGATATGGTAAGTTTTTTCCTTTGTGAAATCAAAACATTATTTCATGCTTTCTAAATGAACTTAATGCTCATTATTTAAATCAGATTATTCCTATGCAGGGGGTCGTGGCTCATATGGTGATCTTGGTGGACCTATTATTACTACACAAGTAACTATTCCCAAAGATGTGAGTATTCTTTGAATTCTTACATTCTTGTAATGTTAACAAGGAACGTTTAATGAGTCTTTTTCTTTAGTGTCCTGACTTTTAATAAAAGGTCTTAATAAAAATACTGTATTTTAGGATTAAAATTGTGTTTTACAGACTTCAGTGAGGTGTCTTTCTCCGGCTTGAGTCTTGCACTGTTTTTAAAAGCTGAGGGTTTTGAAGCCCTTGATTTGTTTATTAAAGGAAGTGTTGATGTGTGCTGTGTAAATAACATTATAATTCAAACCTTGATTGGTTAGAGGGCCTTAAGTAATCTTAGAATAAACTGTGCAAAGTTAGTACTCTTGATATTCATTGAAAATACAGGTAATGTGGTTACTTTGAAAGTATATCATAAACACTTGTTTTTAAAATCTTTTCAGTTGGCTGGATCTATTATTGGCAAAGGTGGTCAGCGGATTAAACAAATCCGTCATGAGTCAGGAGCTTCGATCAAAATTGATGAACCTTTAGAAGGGTCCGAAGATCGGATCATTACCATTACAGGAACACAGGACCAGATACAGAATGCACAGTATTTGCTGCAGAACAGGTCAGTTTGAGTTTAGCTTTGTGCTAGCCTAGTACATACTAAAACTTTAAAAAGCCTTCTTCTCAATTGATTTTTCTTTTAGAAGCCATGGTGTCTCAACCTTTTGGGGACCTAACTTCTAAACATTCTAATAGCTTTGCTTTAATTTTCTTCTGCTTTCTTACTAAAAATGAAGACATTCAATACTAATCTTGCTGGAAGAAGCCTTAACCAAGCAAACTTCTCATTTCTCTGGTGAAAACTGCTGCCAAAACCACTTGTTATAAATTATACAGAGCCTGTAGAAAATGTAGAAGATTCAGTGGATGTTGGTCTAGTTCTGTGTGGAAGACTAGTGATTTTGTTGTTTTTAGATAACTAAATCGACAACAAATCACAGTCTGCCATATGGCACAGGCCATGCCTCTACAGGACAAATGATTGGTGCTGTAAAACGCAGCATTTCACACCTTACTGGCATTTCTTTGTCTTCTCTACCAAATATTAACAACTTTTAATTTCATTTTCCTAATTCTGCTCTACTAATGTCTGATTTACTATTAATCATTTTTCTTGAATTTTACATTGCTCTAATTTTGTAATTGCTAATGTTTTAATTCTTCTAATTGTAATGGACATGTTTATCATTTTAATTTAGCATTGAAATTGTCTTAATGTTGATTAAGATGTTACGAACAAAAATTCTAATTCGTACTTTTTTTTCTTTTCTTTTATAGTGTGAAGCAGTATGCAGATGTTGAAGGATTCTAATGCAAGATATTTTTTCTTTTTTATAGTGTGAAGCAGTATTCTGGAAAGTTTTTCTAAGACTAGTGAAGAACTGAAGGAGTCCTGCATCTTTTTTTTTTTATCTGCTTCTGTTTAAAAAGCCAACATTCCTCTGCTTCATAGGTGTTCTGCATTTGAGGTGTAGTGAAATCTTTGCTGTTCACCAGATGTAATGTTTTAGTTCCTTACAAACAGGGTGGGGGGGGGAAGGGCGTGCAAAAACTAACATTGAAATTTTGAAACAGCAGCAGAGTGAGTGAATTTTAATTTTTGTTCATTGTTGGTGGTTTAAAGGAAAAATATTCCCCCCATGTAATTATTGTGAACACTTTGCTTTGTGGTCACTGTAACATTTTGGGGGGTGGGACAGGGAGGAAAAGTAACAATAATAGTCCATATGTCCCTGGCATCTATTCAGAGCAGTGTGCAGAATGTAATGCTCTTTTGTAAGAAACGTTTTATGATTTTTAAAATAAATTTAGTGAACCTATTTTTGGTGGTCATTTTTTTTAAGACAGTCATTTTTCAAATGGCTGGATTCCCAAACCCACCCCAAACTAAACACTAAGTTTGATTTTCAGCTCCTCTGTTGGATATAAATAAATGCATCTCTTCTTGGACTTAGGCATAATATCTTGGCAAATTCCATTCTGGTGATTTCTTGATGATTTGAAAGTCCATTGCTTGGAAAGAAATTTTGTCATACACATTCATGCTTATAATAAGCTGGGGATTTTTTGTTTGTTTTTGCAAATGCTTGCCCCTACTCTGCAACAGTTTTCTATGTTAGTAATTGTGAAGGAGAACCGAGGTGGGGAGCAATACTACAAATTCAGTAATGGTTTAAATATATGCCAGAAGCCTAATGGCAACAAGTTTTATTAATCAGAATAATACTTGGTTATGGAAGTGACTGATGCTAAATAAATTCTTATTATTTTTTATTAGATAATTTCTCACCTATAGACAAACTGTCAGCCTGCTAGTGTCTATTAGTTAAACTTTGTAAAATATATATATATTCTTGTTTTTCCATTGTATGCAAACTGAAGGAAAAAGATGTACCATTTCTCTGTTGTATGTTGGATTATGTAGGAAATGTTTGTGAACAATTCAAAAAAAAAAAAAAACGATGAAAAAAGTTCCTGTGGATGTTTTGTGTAGTATCTTGGCATTTGTACTGATAGTTAAAAGTTCACTTCCAAATAAATAAAACTCCCATAATGCTAGATTTGATGTGTGCCCAATTTGAACAAGGGTTGATTGACTACCTGTAAAATTTGTTCAAACGTTCCTCTTGTAAGGAAATACAGTAATCTTAAATTATATTTTTTTTGTGTGAAGTGTGTTTCTAGCATTTATAAATGAAGTCTGGCAGGGGTGGTAAATATAAAATCCCAGTGATTAAGCTCTTAATTTGTTAAAAGGGGGAGTCTAGCATAATGAGAGCTGAGTCATGATTATTCAGTTGTACAGATCTTCCTATTCTCAACACTGCCTACGAGAAATTTTAGATTTCTTAGGTTTTTATCTTTAAAATAGCTCTAGTTTGATGATTGAAAATGCTGACAGATAATGTAACAACTGCCTTACTATGTATGGTTCCTGGCTCATAAATTCCTAAAAATTTCTATTAACCTCCGACTGTCTAGAAAGCATGAGAACAGTTCAAGTCTACAGAGAATAATCAAGGATGCAATTCTGCTTTTATAGGTTTAGGAAAAAAGACTTGGACATATAGATGAAGTAGGGGGGTTTTCTGGAGTATACATTAAGTAGTACGTGCATGCAAGCATCATTTAAAGGCAGAATTTCATTCCTTTTTTAGTTTGGAGAGGAATTGAGTATTCCCTTGATAACTGAAATAAGTGTCAAAACAAAACATCATTTAAAACTACTGAATGCTACATGTGTAGTTTCCCAAAAGGAGAAATTAGGCTGTATTGCCACATGGGTGTTACTTAAGCATCCCCCTTGGGTATTTTAAGTATGGGTGATTGATGCTGAGTTGTTTAGGGTAGTACAACCTTCTGTTGAAATGAGCCCTTCCCCTACAGAAAAATTGACAGGTGCTACTTAGTCAAATTGTTAGTCTTACTGGAGGAGGACATCCCTGGAGAACACTGGCTTTCAGAGCACTCATTGGTCATTCAAAAGTTACTCCTGGATTATTAGTGTGAAAGGGTTTTAACTTTTGCCTTTTACAAAGAATTCTGACCTTGAACCTATAAACCTACCAAAAAATTAAATAGATGAGAGAATATCTGCCATTGGAAAGTTGGATGTGCCACTTGGGAAGGGAGAGGTCTTTTGTGTTGCCACATATTTGTAAATGGTGTTGGAATATGGGCTAGAAATTGAGTTAGGTTGAGAAATTTATCAGAAGTAAACATGAAGCTTAAAATTCCCTTAAATGGAACGTTGAACCAATTTTATAAGAAGTGACTAGTACATACGCTGATTTGTTAAAGCTTTAAAAATTTAAACATGAGATTCCTAAAATGTTTTCAACTTAACATTTTGAAAGTTACTACCAAAATGCCAACAAACGTTGGAAATCATGTAGCTTGCACCAAAGTTTTTCAGGAATGAAGGTTTTAAAACCTTTCCCTGCCATTCAAATTTTGCCTTTAAAATGAGACTGTAATGTAAAATATTTCAATTTTGTTGAATGATCTAGTAGTTAACTTCCAAATCTTTGATCACTGATAACTACTGGAATGCTTAGAGACTGAAGAGGAAAATTAACATAGCAATATTTCTCTTAATCATTTTAGTGGTTTGTTTACAGTGTCTTCTGTTTGTGCTCAAAATGGAATCACTGTTCCACAAACAAATCTAATGTGAAGCTTGCTACTAAAGGGACATTTTGAATTTTCTCTCACAGGCCAATGAAAATGTTTTTGTTGACAAAGTAGGATTTTAAGTGTCTAATGCTTTTTTTGGATTTTGGATTTTTTTTGGAAAGGGATTCAGTCTTGATGATGGCTAAATGTAAATTAAATCCATTATAAATATTTTGCATCTCCTATTAAGGTTTGCCTGTTGCTGGCAAGTTAGAGATGACATGAACTGTTTCCTCATGGAGGCACTGAACTTACAAAAAGCTTAATCAGTATTTCTCAAACTGTTCCTAGGACTACCTTTAAAATCGCCAATGATGCTGGTTAAAAATATTTAGACCCCCACACCTCAGTTCCACTGAGTCACAATCTCCAGAGAGAGGTACCAGGAATCTGCGTATTTAACAAACTGAACAGTTTAAAGACCAGTGTAATACAGCAATATATAGTAATGTTTCCATACCTTTTCATTAACTGTATTTAGTTTCCAACGTATACAGGTACAGCGGTGGGCCCTAAGGATGCAGTGGTTAGAAACCATTTTTTTGGAGAGACAGTTCAGTAACCATCTACTAGGGGAAAAAAAAATGTGCTTAGGAAAGCAGAAACTAATGTGTGTTTGTACATACAGGTGTACACATTCACAAGCAGATTGGACACTGTAGAATTAAAACTAGAGAAATCCCATTGTGTTAGCCCAAAATTCTATCCCTTTCACCTCTTAGCAGATGCCGCTTGTGTACACAGCTGGCCATCATTTGCCCAAACCAGGCTTCAGCACTTCCAGTCAGGGAAGAAATCCGACCTCAGGGAAAAAAAGAATACCTAGAAAATGAAACATTTCACATCTGTCTGTATTTAAATGGGGAGCTAATTTGAGTCAAGCACGTTGGAAAATCTAAGATGTAAATGCTTTGTAGGCTTGGGTTCCCATTTGCCAAATGAGTAACAGGCACTAGCAACAAGCTTGTGGTTAACTGATAGACCAGCTCTCCTGTGACCTCAAACTTTCCTAGTCTTCACCTCATTTTCTGCCCAGAATCCGTGCTCCTCCCACTGCCCCCTGCTCCTCCAAACTCAGACCTGTAACCCCCACACCTGTAGTTATGAGAGAAAAAGTATGTCACCAAAACTATAAACCTTCCAGAATCCTTTCAGAAATATTTTCTTTCAGTCATCCTATCTCCCTTTTCCCCCTTCTTCCTTGAAGTCCTCCTATCATTAAGGAATAGGCCTCCTGGAAGGGAAGGGCCAGTTCACTTAGAACAAAAGTGTCTGTGGGGTCGGGCCAAGGCCGGGGGTGGGGCTTGGGGGAGGGGGGTGGGGAGTGTGGCATATGACAGCTGTTCATGAGAGCAAAAGTCATTTAGATAGTAAAGAGAGATTAGGCAGGAACAGAATAGAAAGTACCAGCTAGGTCCTTCAGAAACCTCCCTAGGGTTCATCCAGTAGAGGATGATTAGTGGAAGCAGGAACTCCAGGTAGGTTGACTAGGAAGCTGAAAGAGAAGGCTTAACCTCACTATTTGGAGCCCTGCAAAGTATCCCCATGACTACATGGGCTTGTAAAGCAGAGCAGAAATTGAGGCAATCATGTTTTGGGACAGAGAAACCCTGAGATTTGCACACACACTCCACAGTATTCCCTTTGATGCCCATATGGCATAAGAGGGACACCAGTTGAGTGCTAATGGGCTTGCCATGGGGTCATCACAGTGAAGAGGAAGGTTACTGCATATCAGAGGCTGTAAGGAAGATAGCCTAGTCAGGGGGTGGATGGAGACAGCAGAATTTCAAAGGTTTGTCAATATTCATGATCAATATTCATTGATCTCAATAAAATGAGATCAAGTTAGTCAAGAAGAAAGCTAGGCCGAGTGCTGAGAAACCAGCTAAGACTAGCTTCGGTCCATTCAGTGGTAACTGAAGTCAGACACCAGAAGATCCCAAACAAACCTACACCTCAGCTTGAGCAGAGACCACTTGATGCTAAAGGCTCTTTACTCCTATTATCAGAACACCTTATACCCTTGGCACCCAGAAGACCTCTGGGAGGTCTTGGAAAGGTAGAGGTAAAAGACTGTTTAGAAAAAAAAAATCCCTAATAAGGGGTCTGACCTTTAACTGAATAATTATTTCCCTTAAATTAGACCATATAAAACTGGAAAAGACCTCCACTTGCATTTAATTTGGCAAGTTTATGTGTTTTTTTTCTACCATCAATAGGAATGGGAACGTATAGAGAAAGAGGTCATATGGGAATTTGAGAGCCCTAGAAGTCAAGAGGTAAAAGGCAAGAAAAGTAAGGCAAATACAATCAAACCATAAGTTCTAGGTGGAGGTAGCCTCAGTTGGGTTGGAGCCTTCATCTGGTAGATCAGGTAGCTTTATCTAGATTATTGATTCATACCTGTGTTTCAAACTGGCACCAATTTTCTGTACAATTCAGCCTCCAGAACTCTGTGGGATCAAGCTGACACTAATCTCCAGTTGCGACCAAATCATGGCTTCACTCATGATTCCTTTGCTCGCTTCCCTGGCTTCCTTTCACCTGAGAACATTCCTCCAGTGAGTCACTGGCACAAGAATTCCTGACCAGGGCTCTGCTTCTAGGGACTTGATCTAAGACAGTTGAGCTGGAGCAAGAG